AAGGAGAAATGGAATTTGGATTTGATTTAATATACAGAGTAAATTCCAGATACGCCGAAAAGAAGAAATTACCTAGAGATGTGATTGTACAGCTGGTGACAAGGAAAATGAAAGAAGATATTTTTAAAAAACAATTTGTACAACCACTTGAGATTGACGGCAAAATAATAATGATAATGAGAGAACTCCCAAGGGCAATTTTGCAAGATAGAAGGAAATACAAGAAACTGGCAGACAAATTAAAGCAATTGGACATAAGATTCAGATGGGAAATACCACAAGGGCTGTCCTTTACCTATCAAGGATCAAGATACGTTATCAAGTCTGTGGAAGAACTGTATAGGTTTAAGGCGGACAATATTGAAGAATTTGGAGAGATATAAGACAAGACACAATGGATTACAAATTTTTATCTTGGAATGTAAATGGACTAAATTCGCCTAATAAAAGGAAATTAGTTAAACATTGGTTGGAAAAGCAAAAATGCAATATAATTTGTTTGCAAGAAATGCATATAAAAAAACAGGACTTTAAATTTTTAATTAATAAAAAATTAGGAGAGGAATTTTATTCTTTGGCTTCAAAAAAAAAGAAAGGGACTGTGATTTACGTTAACAAAGAATTGCAACCGAGAGAGATTTTTAAAGACACGGAGGGAAGATTTCTTGGAGTAGAAATTATGATGCATCAAAAGAAAACGCTTGTAATCAACATTTATGCACCTAATGGCGCGAAAGAAATTTTTTTCAAAGATTTGGCAAGACAATTGGAACAACTAACTTATGAGCAGATAGTATTGGCAGGGGACTTTAATGGCACAGTAAATAACAAATTGGATCGACAATCTAAGAAGGGAGATGAGAAAATTGGAAAGTTGCCGAAAATTTTCTTTAATTTGATAGAACAAGAAAAATGGAAGATGTTTGGAGAAAATGGAATCTTAATGTTAAAGACTTTACTTTTTATTCCAATAGACATAGTTCTTTTTCCAGGATTGACATGATCTGGATGTCAGGAGAAATTGCATTGAAAACACAGAAGGTTGAAATTTTACCAAAGAGCAATTCAGACCATAATCCAGTGTTGTGGCTGTCAAAAGAGAAGAATAAACAATTTCAATGGAGAATTAATGAGGACTTATTGGATAAGAAACAGATTATGGAGACGGTTCGTAAAGAAACTCTGAATTTTTTTCAGACGATTTTAAATCAAGGAACGCCAATTCAGACAGTGTGGGATGCTTACAAAGCTGTAATGAGGGGTCTACTCATATCACTAAATGTAAAAGAGAAAAAAGAGAGAATGAGCAGACAGATGGAGGTGTTGGAGAAGATTCAACAGAAAGAAAAAGAGTTAAAGAAAAAACCTGGAAAAAAGAAGATAATTAAAGAATTGCAAATCTTGCGAGAACAATTAAATGTGATGTTAAACCAAGAGATGTATTGGAATTTAAAGAGACTACAACAGAAATCTTTTGAAGGTGCAAACAAACCTGGAAAGTTTTTGGCATGGCAGTTGAAAAATAGAAAAGAAAGAAGGTTAATCAACAAAATTGTAGAAGACAGTAATGAAATTGTAGATCCCAATGGCCTTAAGAGAGTATTTTTTAAATATTATGCAAAATTATTTCAAAAAAAGAATATAGATCTGGAGAAAATTAAAAAGTACTTGGAGGAAGTACAGTTGCCAAGGATTCAAGAAACAAGTAAAGAAATATTGAATGGAGTGATTCAACAAGAAGAAATATTCAAGGAGATAGAAGAAACAAAGTTGGGAAAAGCTCCGGGACCAGATGGATTTACTGCAAAGTTTTATAAGAAATTAAAAGAGGAGCTAACCCCAATTTTTGGACTTTTATCAAATGAGATAAAGGACACTAAAATAATACCAGAAACTTGGAAAGAAGCCAATATTTCGCTAATACCAAAAGAAGGCCAAGATTTAACAAATGTGAAAAATTACAGACCGATTTCTCTCCTTAACAATGACTACAAGCTGTTTGCCAAAATAATTTCTGAAAGGGTAAAGAAGTATTTAAAGGATGCTATAACAGAAGAACAAGCTGGTTTTTTGCCAAATAGACAAATCAGAGACAATTTAAGAATGGTGATCGATGCAGTAGAATATTATGATAAACATCCGGAGAAAGAAGTTGCCTTTCTATTTGTAGATGCTAAAAAAGCTTTTGACAATTTAAATTGGGAGTTTATGTTTCAAGTGTTAGAGAAAATGGATATTGGTCAATCTTTTATCAATATAATCAAGGCAATATACTCAGATCAAAAGGCAGCATTGAATGTGAACAAAGAACTTACTTCATATTTCAAAGTGCAAAAAGGGACAAGACAAGGTTGTCCGCTATCCCCATTATTGTTTATATGGATTCTGGAAGTATTGTTGGGCAAGATAAGAGAAGATAATGATATAAAGGGACTAAAAATTAAAGGTTATTCGTATAAATATAGAGCTTTTGCAGATGATGTGATGTTTTTAGTTGAAAATCCAAATAATAATTTACCGTTGTTGATGCAAAGAATAAAAGACTTTGGAGACCTGGCTGGATTTTATGTAAACAAGAGCAAAACAAAAGTGCTTTGTAAAAATATGACAAAAGTGAAGCAAAAGGAGCCAAGCCGGAGAACAACAAGCCTACCACCTGGGTGCCGGTAGGCAGCCCCGTCCCGCACTATGTGGCTTTAGTTAGGGAAGCAACATTAGAAACTTCTATGTAAACCGCCCAGAGACCCTTCGGGGTTAGGGCGGTATATAAGCTGAATAAATAAATAAATAAATAAATAAATAAATAAATAAATAAATTGAACTACAAGAACAATTGCAGTGTGAGGTAGTCAAGAAGAAAAAAAATTCTGGGTATCGATCTGACTATGAAAAATATAGACCTTTTCAAAAATAATTATGAGAAGCTCTGGACAAAAATACAACAAGATTTGAAAAAATGGGATACCATGAATTTATCATTGTTGGGAAGAATATCGGTGGTTAAAATGAACGTTTTACCTCGCTTGATGTTTTTGTTTCAAACCATTCCGATAATAAAGGAGATAAAGGTGTTGCATCGATGGCAGAAGGAGATTTCGAAGTTTGTCTGGGCAGGAAGAAAACCGAGGATCAAAATGAAAATTTTATGCAATGCCAAAGAAAGAGGAGGATTCCAGTTACTGAATTTCAGGCTATATTACGAAGCAATTTGTCTTACTTGGATAGAGCAATGAATTAATTTAGATAACAAAAAACTGTTGGCGTTGGAAGGTCACGATTGTAGATTTGGCTGGCAAGCTTATTTATGGTACGACAAGGCAAAAATAGACAAATTTTTAAAGCATCATTTTATAAGAAGATCACTGTTTGAGACTTGGTTGAGGTATAAAAGATTTTTTTATGAAGCAAGACCACTTTGGATTGTACCAGCAAAAATGATTACACCATATTCGAGACATAAAGGCGAAGACTGGTTACCATACATGGATATTTTGAAAAAAGAAGGGGAAAACTTTGTGATGAAAAAGAGGGAGGAACTACACTTTGAATATGATTGGTTAAATTATATGCAGATTTTTGATCTATTTAAAGCAGATAAAAATAAGTTTGGCTTTAGGGAAGAAAAAAATGAAATAGAAGGTATTTGGGAGGTAAAAGGGAAAAAATGATATCAAATTTGTATAAGGTTTTGTTAAAATGGTTTACAGAGGATGAATCAGTAAAAGAGCAAATGATTAAATGGGCTGTAAATATGAATAAGGAGGTGACAATCTCATCTTGGGAATATTTATGGAAAAATTCACTTAGGATATCGACTTGTACTAATGTGAAAGAAAATTGTTATAAAATGATGTACAGGTGGTATATGACACCAAAAAATGCACTTATGAATGAAAATATGTCTAACAAATGTTGGAAGTGTAAAAAAAAAAAAGAAGGCTCTTTTTATCATATGTGGTGGACTTGTGATAAAGCTATGGTTTTTTGGACAGAAGTTCATGATGAAATGCAGAAAATCTTGAAATGTACTTTTAAGAAAGAACCTGAGATATTACTTCCAGGGCTTAAGATGGAAGAAGTAAATGTAACAAAAAAGACACTGTTGTGGTACCTGATTAGTACTGCCAGAATGACTTATGCGCAATCTTGGAAGCAGGACAGAATACCAGAAAAATGGGAATGGATACAGAAAGTGTTATTCATGGCTGAAATGGACAAATTAAAGAAGAAACTTAATAATAAAGCAGACCAAGAATTTTTTGAAGAATGGAAAGACTTTAAAGAATATCTGGGAAAAAATTGGGATGTAAAACATAATTTACTTTGTTTTGATAATTATTAAGGGCAGAAACATAAAGGTTTGGAATGTTTAGATTAAGATATTGTTACCTTGAAACTTAAGATGATAATGGGAAAGGAAAAATAGAAATATAATTGGGAAAGGGGGAGGAGCATTGCGGGAAGCCACAAAAGGGGGGGGAGGAGATAAGAGAAATGGATATGTGATAAAAGAAATGTAATGTAATGTTGAATGTGTTGATATATCCAACATAAAGGATTTGACATTAAAAAAACAAAATTACTGCCCAGGTACCCCGCCTTTTCCGGATCACCGTTTCCCGTTATTTCCCCCCCCCCCTTCAGGTATTAACTCGCATTTTTCAAGTGTGGAATACCAGAAGTCGAATTTTGCTTCCTCGCTGCCCTTTCATGGTGTCAGCATCACATGCACACCCTGCCCCCAAGTCCCCCAAACAGCAGACTTGTTTTTTTAAAGCATAGTTTTGATTGTGTTCCAACACTGATTGTTTTCTAACTTAATAATACTGCGATATGATAAGGCAGGGACAAAATCAGCAGTGAGGTTTAATGTAGCTTTCTCTGTGCAATTACCCATTCATGAAGTTCCTTTCCTTTTTGTGTGTGTGTGCGAATGTGTGTGTGTGTGTGTGTGTGTGTGTGTGTGTGGGTAGAGGTTTCGTCACCTTGTGCTTTTGTACCTCTTCTTGTTGTATAAGAAGACAAAGACGGCCAGGGAGGTGATGCCCACCATCAGCAGGACGGGCATGAGGGTCAGCAGCACGTAGAAGTTGCCCGGCTCCTCTTCCTCTACTTGGGAGGGGTTGGGGGAGGGGGGGGGAGAGAAAGGGAAGGCATCCAGATCGCACACGCAGGGCCACGCACGGGGGAGGGGACTGCAGGCCAGCCTCCGTCCCCCTCCCCTCCGCCCCGCACACCGAGGCCC